CTGAATTATGGTGAAAAACCGCAAAGGTGACACTGTTTTGGAGGGGCGTCATGGATTTCTACGTATGACCTGTCTTCGTAGACTTTGGATTTGTGATTGCTACTGGACTATCTGAAAGTATAACTTTTAAAAAGGACCCTACAAAATAAGCAGAGTTCACAAGAAGTCTCCGGCAACATATCGACTTTACTAATGCAAAGCTGACTTAGAAATCCATCCAAAAACAAAAGTATTTGCTCCTTTTCATAGTTAGTACTTGGTACAAATACCAGAAATTAGATACATACATTGTAGTGAGTAAAAAAAACAATTATACAATCTAAACATCACATTTCCAACATTAGTAATGCGCGAAAGACGAGAAAAGTACAAATAAGGAGGTGAAACATCCAAGAAAGCAAATCGGGCGGCATATGGGCGCCATCGATCGAGAGTTGGCAAAATGCCTTGCCGTCCGCACGCGCACATGGCGCACGGTACTTATTTATTTATTTATTTATTTATTCAATACGCACAAGGCGTGCCACATTTGGAACAAGTAAAACGAAATAGTAAGAACCTTACAGTAGTGAACAACCAAAAAAGAAAAAAAATCCACCAACAGCCCAAGTCCAGCTCTCAGGTATGTAGGAATAAAGGGATTAAGCTTGTATGGGCCTTGTATGATTGTATCAGTAAAATGCTCTGTGGAGTCTGTCTCATGCCCCCTGCTTGCAGCAAAAGTGCTCTTAGATTATTCAAATTTAGCAATGTATTTGCGGGGACCGTATAGGTTGACAAATTTGCCCGACTGATTCTGGGGAGAGAACAGAACTCCGAGATAAGAGGTTATAAAATAAAATAATGAGCAAGCCTAACAAGCTATTCCCAAGTAGCAACGGAATGGATGAACCGGACCCGAACCACCATGTAAATTAATGATCGAAACAATAAGCAAGTTGAAATTTCACGACCGCAAATATATTAATCTGAGAAGTTATCACTAGGAGACCTTCTACGCGATAAGTGGGAGATTGATAGAGTTAGTCAGATCATAGTACTGGAGCAGCCCAAGCGACATGCGAAGCAGCGAGCGTAGGAAAGTACGGCAGGCGAACGGCAGCACTATACGAATGATAACGAGAAGCAGTCATCTGGAAGAAAATCGGTCAAATTCAACTTCTTGAGTCTACGTTTGAAAGTAAGGCTATCTGGAGAAGACAGAATTTCTTTGGGTAAACACTGGAGATACTTTGAAGTGCGTGCAAAAAAACTGTTTCTTGATAAAGAGTTTAGTTGTTTCCGCCTACCATTTAGATGTAAATAAACAGAAAAACCAGTAGTCCTTCCGTGACTAGGCCTGAACACCCAGTATTTAGAAGGTCTTAGTCTAGTCTCGCCTTTAAAAATCCTGAAAGCAAGTATTATATCATGCATGATCCTGCGATGTAGTAGACTTTTGAGGACTTGCGGCGCGTGCATGCAAATCGAGGACTGCACAAAAGGGAATAGGTTTTTGACATCGCCTGTATTACGTACAGTCGCTTCATTTCATATGATCATGTGTGCCGTTGCACACACAGTCCACTTTGGCGTCCTCATCCTGGATTTGCAATCGCAAAAACGCAAGAGACTTACCGATTGTTATCGATTACATCAGTTTGAGGTGACTAGTGACTAAAAAGGAAAGAAAATGCTAAGAACACCTTGGAAACACTTACCCGAAGGCTTGTTTCTCCCACGAATCCAGGATAGGGACGCCAAAGGTGAACTGTGTGTGCAATGACACACATGATCATATGAAATGAAGCGACTGTATGGTATCCACCTTCGCCTCATAAAAATATATTTTGTAGTGATTGCAACATCCTGGAGCATAATTTTGCAATCAAAATGAGTGGTTTTTTGTGGCAATGCTGCAGAGTTGACGAAAGCGATTTGGGCGCAGTACAGCTCTGTGTGTTTGGTCTAACAAGGAAAGGATACTTGGTGACTCTGGCCATGTGGAATGCGATGTATACCACAAGGTGCATCTCGAAACGTTGATTCTAAATCTGTGCTCGAAATCTGCGAAACGATCATGAAGGCAGTTATGAACTTTTTTCGTAGAATTTGCGTACTTTTAGGTAGTTGAAATCACCCAATTTGATCTATTTTACCGTTTAAAGCTATTGAGGAGAATCTTAAGATGTAACGTTGTATTTATGCCTATCTAAACCATATTCAGCACTTGAAGAGGAAAGAAACATTTTTACTAATGATTTTCACCCTCCGCAGTAGCGCGATTCATTTTGAAAAAAATAATCATAACTCCATCCAGGTTCTCGTTTCGCAGACATGGAAAACAGAGTTCGAGCCACCATTTGAAGGCGCATTTTTTGATTACAACCGTTATGAATGCCGGGGTCACGCCAAGTATGCTTTCCTGTTAAGCTATATCCTTTGATTCAACGAGATCAGCGGCTGGAAGGCGAGCACTCGCGTCTGCGATGCGGTATGCGTCTCTTTCGTGAAGGTGTTCTCTGATTGTTCTCTGGCCGTAGTTAGGTCACGAAGCCCCGCCTTCCAGCCTTTAATCCAGTTAAAGGCAGTGTCCGGGCAAAAACCGAATTTAAAGGCAGTGTCCGGGCAGAAACTCGATTTTGAAATTTTGTGCTTATCCGGGCCTATTCGCCATGCTGAATCCGAAAATCCACATTGGAAAGCGCGAAAACGGCGAAAAAGGGCTCTAATATAGGAGGGAAATCAGCAGGTGGGCGGGGCTTTCCCCAGTGCGATTTCACGCTCCCAGCTCCCGGAGCTATTTTCTCGATTCCGCTAGCCGTTATAACATCGCTACCGGCCAAGTGCGAATGATTGATTTACAACCGGAAGCGAGAAGGTTGCTCCGGAAGCCAGGAACGTGAATTTGCAGTGTGGAGGACTCCGCCCACCTGCTCATTTCCCTCCTGTGTTAGAGCCGTTTTTCGCCATTTTCGCGCTTTATAATGTGCATTTTCGGATTCAGCGTAGCGAATAGGCCCAAGTAAGCACAAAATCTCAAAATCGAGTTTTTGCCCGGACACTGCCTTCAAGATTTTGTGCTTACCCGGGCCTATTCGCTGCGCTGAATCCGAAAATGCACATTGTACAGCGCGAAAACGGCGAAAAACGGCTCTAACGCAGGAAGGAAATCAGCAGATGGGCAGGGTCCTCCCCACTGTGAACGCTCCCAGCTACCGGAGCGATCTTCTCGCTTACGATTTCAAGTCATTCATCCGCACTTGGCCAGTAGCGATGTTAGGACGGCCAGAGGAATTGAGAAACCGCTCCGGAAGCTGGGAGCGTGAATTCACAGTGGGGAGGACCTCGCCCACTTGCTGTTTCCCTCCTGCGCTAGAGCATTTTTTGCCGTTTTTGCACTTTCCAGTGTGGATTTTCGGATTCAGTGGCGAATAGGCCCGTTTAAGCAGAAAGTCTCGAAGTCGAGTTTTTGCCCGGACACTGCCTTTAAATCAAAGACTACCTCATGCTATTTATGCTGGGCATGTGTCCAAGTCGCCAGCTACGCGCTTCCTTATGTGGTTGCGCCGCTTATGTGTTAGATGGCGACGCGACGGTGCGACGACGCTGGCCAACTTGTAAGGATATACTTCCAATATGGATCTCGTGTGATCGCTTATTCTGCAGCGGAGATGGGAGAAACTCTTTTATGTGGAAAGTGTTGCATTATTCTCAAATTGAACACAAGCAAGTATATCATCTTACAGTGCTTCTTCTTTGCATCAGAATGGTGTGCTCATCGAATGTGCCATACTACAAACCTGAAAAACTTACTTGAAACATGTGCTTTCCATTTGACCTTACCCTCTCAGCCGACTTATACTGTTCTAGCAATGCACTAATCTTCTTCTGTTCTTGCTTGATGGATGCTAAGTAAGTGACTGGTTTTCAAATGCTTTTTTGCTTATAATCTCTTGGTGCAATCTCCTCGGTCCAGGCATATGCAATCGTTGGCAGATTAGCAGACAAGACGTCTTGAAACACTCACACGCGTAATCATGTTTTTTCAAAGGGTCAAGAGCAGCTTACTGTCGCGAAGCGCCAGCGAATGTGCCTATCAATGACCGAAAGAGAAAGTAAATTTGTAAAATCAGCATTTTACGAACTAATAGTTGGTTACCTAAAATGCTAACTTGCGACTTCAGAAAAACATCGGTAGAGTCATTTATCTACAGCCAAGGCTGATTCTACGTACGGTTTGTAAGCGATTCCATTTGGAAGACTAAGCGTTGCCAGCACTGACTTCTAACTCACGCATAAAAAACTTGGGAAAGCAAACACCCAATTGAGTGATGCAAGTGCATGATGGTAAGTATGCTTCAGTCCTTAGTGATGCATCGTGCAATCGCAACCAGAAATAGGAGAAGGCAAAGATCTTGACCAGCACTCTGCTTGCAGAAGAAAATCTAAACCTTTCTACAGACTGCTAGTGCTTCCGTGCTGTCATGTCGATAGCGATTGACTATGACAATATCTATGCGTTATTCTAAGCGTCACAAGGTGTCCGCATGATGAATATTTTGGACGAGCAAGGGTTCCAATGGATGCATCAAACTCGTTCTCCTCCGTCTTGAGGTTATTGTAAACTCTGAGGTCTTGAAGACGCTTGACTCCTCTTCAAAGCGACGGAGAGAAAAGGCGGAAAGAGCGGCCACTGATGCCATAGATCAGTGCAAGATCACATAACATAGTTATACAGCAGGTTACTACTATTCTTGGCAGTAACTTTTTATCATCAGTTAGTCGTTATTTAAATAGGTACTATTATCTATTGTACCTATTGTTAGCCATTTAAAAATGGTCTTCCTATGGTGCGACCTGAGATCCGTCATCGGCTAGTCACAACCCTCCTGGAGGGGGTTTAGCGAAATACCAATTTTGAGCTTTGGCTTTCTTCAAGTCGAATAACTTCTTTATTTCTGGCTTACATCCCTACATAGCCGTAGTTCTTCCCTAAACGATATCTCATCTATTTACAGAACGTACCTGTGCGTTTGCCGAAACGAATGAATATGATAGAAGCCTACCAGTGTGATCCTCCTGTTAGTGAAGTAAGTACAATAGTGCATGTTTTATTCACTAAATTCTGCCATATCCTGCAAATACAGCGCAAGAGTATGTTAGACTCTAACTAGCCTTTATCGTCATGACTTCATTTGAATTATCACAATCGTGTAAAAGAAGGTTTTGAGGATAAATGTCTGTTGAAGGAACTCAAAGAGAGCAGCTACAGCCTGTCCCAATCGGGATTAGGCCGAACCGTCGGCTGAATTTGTGCGCTCGCAGCGCTAGGGATTTGCGCTGCATACGCGCGCTGTCGCAGAGAGCGAAGAGATTGAGGAGAGAGCAGACTAGCTAGACGCAGAAGTGGCGCGAAACCCTCGCGACGCGCACTCCCGCCAAGCCAATTTTGGCCTGGTTAGGATTGGGGCAGACTGTATAGTGGGGGCCCCGGCCAGCTTCCCATAGGTAGCTCCGCGGCGCATACGCATCGCGCACCAACGCGTGCTCTGTTGACTCCTCATCTCGTTTGTGAAAAAAAACATTTCTACGTAAGATAGGAGAGAAATAGAAGTGGAAACCCTCTAATCTCAGCTCGAGAAAAGCCTAAGCAAAAGAGAACTATCACAACTTTCACTAGCACTTAGTTTTTAGTCAATCTCATGAATAATTGTATGATAGGTACTAGTGATGGGTGAAAAAAAATCATAGAAGCTACAGAGAGAGGAGCATTTCTGAAACGTTTTCCTTCGGTAGTCGTAATAAACCTGAGAAATGTAAGCTCGAGAGCGTAATTGTATAGTGTGGACCCCGGCCAATTCCCCACAAATACCTCCGCGGCGCACCCGCAGCGCGTGCATTTCTTGATGCTTCTCACCTCACTTATGAGTAATAGAGCATACCTATGCACCAAGGGGAGAATTGAAAAGTGGAAACCCGTAAATTCACTCTGAGACAAGCGTATGCGAGAATAAAATGCACGCAACCTCCATTAGTACCTCAAATTCAATCAATGGTTGCAAATTTCAGACTTGCACTGATGGAAAAGCGGGAAGAAGTAAACCTAGAGCAGAAAAAGAACAACAGCATTTTCAAAACGTTTCTCTCCGTAAACTTAGAAGCTAGAATACAACTTAGGTACAATAACTCAAAAAATGTGGATATTTCCGTAAACAATTCCCTACCGGCTTCTCGAAAGGCTTAATTTGACTTGATACACTGTCTACACTCTAAAAGTCAAGTCGAGAGGGACTCTTATTTAGTACAAAAAGCTTTTGGAGGAATATTCTCCTAGAACAACTTCAAATCTTCTCAATCTCTCAGAAAAAAAGAGGAAAAACACAAGACTAATACTCAAGTCCGAAGCTTTCAGGCCTAGTAGAGCAAGTAGAGCACGTGAAACCTCGTCACCGGTTATGCGAATTGTTTATACCTGAAACAGAGGGAATTTAGTAAAGCAAAAATAAGAAAATTAGAAAAAATCAAGGAATTCCATTGACAGGAAGCGCGCTGAAGGCGTGCGTCGCGGATGCGTCGCGCAGGTACCTATGGGAAGCTGGCCGGAATCCACACTATACAAGAAGCTTCAATGTCGCATCGAAAAGGAACTAAAAGCACTTATACAAAACAAGCTCATTCGGAGAGATACGCTAGGTCCGTGATAGCTTTAAAAGCTGAAAGCTTTGCATATAGCTCTCCCTAAAATGCACTCAATATTCACTACAGAGGGAAAAAACTAGAACTTCCTGAGATAAATGCTCCTTAAGATCTCTAAGGCTTGTATTAGGTTGTGTAATAAGTTCTGCCCCATTTTTTCTTTCGATTTTTTTCAATATTTTGCGCGATGTTCTGTAAATTGTTTGTACGCATTTGAAAGCTCTGAGCCTTCTCTACCTAAACTTTCATTTCGGTTTTCTACATCAGATGACTCGAAAAAGTTTTACAGCGTCAAATTTGGAAAATCAAACAGGGAAAAGTCCATTTTCGACAACTACGTTATGTCGCCTTCCTAATTAGTCAGAATGCCTACGAATAAGCTCGAAAGATTTGCTACACGTAAGCAAAAAATACTCTAGCTCCTATTGCGCTTCAGGAGTGCCAAAATTTTTCAAAAATCATTTCTGTAGACCTTAGAAAAGTCTTCTTTCTAACTCCTTTTCAATGTTGGTGTTGAGCATCATTTGAAGGCATCCTGGGGAAAGACGGTAGGCGGATCATCCAGAAAAGACAGAAAAGATGATTTGTGGCTTCAATATCATCGAATTCGTAGGTTGAATAGTCAAAATGCGAATTTTGGGAGCCACACAGCTTAGGTACGCGAGACGGCGAACGTCGCCATGACAAAGTCTTGCCTTGCCGACTTTTAAAAAAGGACCGTAGTAAACCCCCCATCGGGGCATCTCTCTTGACGCGACAGGGGGTGATCTCATCGCGCCTCAGTCTAGCATCCGGCGAGCTATTGATCTGGATGCGAATCACTTCCTGGACATTATAATCAAGTGCATTCTTGAAAAAGTGGCTACTTGAGCCGGTTTGGTCGAACGGGTAAGTGATTGGAATCGGCCGTGGTTCGACTCCTTTTAGCGACACGACTTTTGCTGCATCGCCGGGCAATCTTTGATAGCGGCCACTATCGCAATCGATCATGACCGCTATCGAGGATTTCGCCTAGCAATGCACGGATATAAAACAAAAACACATTTTGTGACGAGAATTTTATAAAAAAACGAATTGGTTGCAGCGTGAAATTAATGAAATGAACAAGTAAGTTCTCACGTTGGACAACTTCAAAAAAACAGTGGAGTTTACAAAAAAGAGAAGAATTTGTTTTTTTTTTAGTTTCCTCGCCAAAACCAGCTGTTCATCGATCCTCTCCTATTCGGGCGCGGTTGTGCAGTTTTGCGCATTCTAGTCTGCAATATTATGTAAGTGTCCCGTAAGTTACTCACGAGCAACTTACGAGACTTTTCTCTGCGTCTCATCCCTTGCACACTACTTCGGTCAATTCATCTCAAAATCGAGGCTGCTCTTACGGATTTCAGGTGAATTTATCGCGGCACATGCCCTACGCTAACCCTTCAGATCAGGTCGCATTCTTAAGCATGTGAGAGTGACCGCTAGTCAGTTTATCTTAAATACCTCAACTCAGCCCCTGAGTTGAGATCATCTGAAATGAAGGAGGGTTCAATACGGGCCAAAATGTCATTAACACGTTTCGGACTGCGAAATCGCGCGCGCGAAAAAGAGGGTACTTTTAGCCGTTAGCCAACAAAGGGACCTTATTTTCCAGACTGTGTGCTACATCTGTAATCAGCATGTCAGATAAGTTCGATACCCAAAGTTCTGAATCAATTTGAAGTGTTTGAATTTTGTAGCTTGAGAAGGATTTCTGTGCTTTCTTGAAAGATAGAAACAAAAACTCAGTTTTATACACGATAAATATCATCATTGAAATCACGGTTTTTCTCATTGAATTTGAAGCAAAGAAAAGCTGCGACGTCGCACACGTCGTTTATGTTGCCGCGCTTCGTTGCAACTGTTGTTCGATTTGTCCTCATATCTCCTAAACAAATGTCGGCCGCACAGCTCTACAGGGTTATTTGAAAAGAAGCCTAGGCCTTTGACTTGATAACCTTGGACAAAAAGAAAACCTCCTGTAAACATCAAAAAGATCCTTCAAATCCGCGTGCTGCACCATGTGCAGCACAGGTCCGAAACGTGTTAAATAGCCGGTGGAAGGAAGGGAACATGCGCAAAAGTGACAGAATAAGTGAAAAAATCTAATAGATTGTTTTGGTTGTTGTCAAGCTTGTTTAATAATCTTATATATAAAGCTGAATGTCTGTATGTACGTAAGTGCGGAATAAAAATTTTTTCCTGAACAGTGGCGGTAGGACGGTCCCGCAGGTTCCACTGACTTAGCAGAACAACTGGTAAAAATATAATGGTTTATCACAAAATATGACAAACCACAAAAGAAGCTGATATGCAAATACAGAGAATAAGAGTAGCACAGAAGAGCTAATACAGAACAGTGAATAGAGAAACTGTTGAGGAGCTATTGAGGAACTATTGAGGAACTAATATTGAGGAACGAACTAGACATCTCAGAACGGACATACGAGATATGGTGCTTCGTACATCCCGTGGGTTGGGTTCAAGACTAATAGTGTGACAAAAAACCTAGGTCGGGCGCCTGGAGGCTACACGTCCCCCCTTATCGTAAGTGGCGTCCCGACACTTAACAACACTTAACCTAGCCTCTCAGAATTGAAAAAAACTCAACATTACTACACAGTAACAACACAAATATAAAGCAAACACAATACTACCGTATACCTACAAAAATGACAACACGGTTACAATCTTGATTTCTTCTTCCTTGTTTTTCCTTGTGGTCGTTGTCCAAACGGTCCTTGTCCAAGCGATCCTTGTGCATGCGATCCTTGTCCATGCGATCCCTGTCCATGCGATCCATGTCCAAGCAATCCTCTTCCAAATTTCTGACACCGCAACAAGTGTCCACTCCTTTCTGTTTGATTCCGTTGTGTCTTTTCTCTTGTACGACTAGTTCGGCAGGAATGTGCTCTGACATAGTCGACCATTTCAAGAAAATCCCAAAATGCGCGATGGTATCCGGCACATCTGCACACTTTCCCATACCGCTTCGCATTGACACTCTTGAGTTTCTTAACATACGTGTTTGCTGATGCGTTGGAATCACCTTCATCTTGCTGTTCCACGCTTATCCGTTTGACATCGACTGATCTGTTCTTTGGCTGTTTCTTTTTCAGCATGTGCATCTTCACAGCTTTTGTCGATTGCTTCATATCGGTCAATGGTTCGTCCAAGATTTCGCTTTGATTCTTGAAATCTTGCCTCATCTTTCTGCGCTTTGTGCGCCTTGTTTCTTCTTTTCTTTCATAGTTTTTTTATAAATCTCATTCCTACTTTTGGCTTCGTCTTGTTTCCTCCAAGTAGTCTATCAGTTCGATATCTTACTACATTTAAGGGGTCTTTTACCGAATCCCTGAGCAGATCGCTATTGGTA